AGTTAACAGTTTTAAATTTACATGCTTAGCCCTCACTTTGCACCTACAGTCTAGATCCATATAGCCATGTGTCTATAAAACATTTTCATTTGGTTGTCATACTATAGGCCCAAATTCAGTTTATCTAAAGCATAATTTGGTGTTTCATACCTTCCCAATTTGAGGGTATAGGTAGCATTAATTTTAGTTTCCAGGCTAGGATTTGGAATATCTTTTGACTCTTTCTGCTCCATTATCCATATATTCATTTTGCCATTTTCAAATGTATCTGATTCATCTGTTTCTAACATTTCCTCCGTCTTCCTACTATAAGTCCCCATAGTTTCTTATCTAAATAGATACTGGAGCTACTGTAGGGCATAAGGCAGATTAGATTTCTATCTTCAGGGATCTTAAAAGAAATCCTGACTACTGCTATTGCCTCCTGCATAATGTTCTAACTCACTCTATCAAGAGGAAGCCAGTTGAAGCTACTGTCTCCGTGTTTGGATGTTACTTTCTAGAGCACTGTGCAATAGCACACATAGCATCACTTCCTAATTACTTACTTATCAGTTTTCCTTAATATACTCAGTTACAGGAGATGAAGATAGGATGTTATTTTTGCTTTATGTTTTTATTTTTGAGACAGGGTCTCATTCTGTCTGTCACCTAACCTGGAATGCACTGGTACGATCAGAGCTTATTGCAGCCTGAAACTCCTAGGCCGCCCTCCTGAGTAGCTGAGACTACAGGTGTGCACCACCATGCCCAACTGTAGATTTATTTTTGTATCACAGTGCATAGTGCAATACCTATCACATATATCAGTGAACCATAGATGGATGAAATAGCATTGTAATTTCATATATTTTGTCATTGGATTTAAACAATGACTTGGTAAAGTGAATATAGGAGACCTTTTTTTTTGAGGCAGAGTTTCGCTCTTGTTGCCCAGACTGGAGTGCAATGGGGCAATCTTAGCTCATTGCAACCTCAGCCTCCCGGGTTCAAGCGATTCTCCGGCCTCAGCCTCCCAAGTAGCTGGGATTACAGCTGCCCACCACCACAGCCAGCTAATTTTTTGTATTTCTTTTTTAATCCAAAATGTGTTTATTGAGATGGTTTCCCACTCATCTTGATTCAGAGTGCTTTTGGTGCTGCTTCCTCCTGAAAGAACATCCTTCTGTAAGCCTTGCTTTTCCTCCTGTAGGCTGGCAGAGGACAGTGGAGCAGCCAACACACAAAACTACTGTTTGTGCATGGCTGAAGACCGTGGTGATTTTTTTTTTTTTTTTTTTTGAGACGGAGTTTCACTTTTGTTACCCAGGCTGGAGTGCAATGGTGTAATCTCAGCTCACCGCAACCTCTGCCTCCTGGGTTCAGGCAATTCTCCTGCCTCAGCCTCCAGAGTAGCTGGGATTACAGGCATGCGCCACCATGCCCAGCTAATTTTTTGTATTTTTAGTAGAGACGGGGTTTCACCATGTTGACCAGGATGGTCTCGATCTCTTGACCTCGTGATCCACCCGCCTCGGCCTCCCAAAGTGCTGGGATTATAGGCGTGAGCCACCGCACCCGGCCCCGTGGTGATTTTATAGCATCCTGGGCATTTCACATTCATGAAGTAGGAACTGGGGCTCTGCACCAGGCGTTTCTTCTTGTGTTTCCTCTTCTCCTTTTCCGGAGAGGGATGAAGGAGATCCTTTGCTAGAGGCATGTTCTCGTGCGTAGGTCGTCACCACCAGAAAGGCATTTTTTGTATTTTTCAGAGAGATGGGGTTTCACCATGTTGGCCAGGCTGGTCTCAAACTCCTGACTTCAGGTGATCCACCTGCCTCAGCCTCCCAAGGTGTTGGGATTATAGACATGAGCCACCATGGCTGGCTCTGTAATTATATTAATTTGCTTGTTCAAACTTATTCTTTCTAACTTTCTCCTATAAATCCAGTCAAATTAATCTCTTTACTACCTTCTGAATTACCCACTCTTTGTTCTTACCTGTTCTTTCAGTGCTTCTTTTTTTCTCTTTGTCACAGTCTAATGTAATGCCTTCTTTTTGAGACTTTCCTTCTCTCACATTGACATGTTGCTCTTAAATGTTGAATAATTTATCAGTCTGTTATATTGATCAGTATTATGCATTTTTGTCTATACCATTATATTCATTCAATGTTTAATACAAAGTTTGTCTGATTTCCTTGATTGGCAACTCTGTGTAGTTGGTTCTGTGTATATCAACTTTTGTTGTCAACGAGAATGTTGGAAACCCAGTATTAAAGGTTAGCTATAAATATTTCTCCAAACATGATAATTCTGTACATATAATAGCAGAGATCACTATTTAACAATGGACAATTGTGTCATTATTCTTGTTATTGATATTTTTATCTCTTGAGCGTCACTGTAATTATGGTATTAAAATTTTGAATAAATTTAGGCTAGTCAGATCATCAGTTAAACACCTAAAAGGAAATTTTAAATTGTTCCGTTGGAATATTATAATAGGTACGAGTGGGACATTTCTTTATTCCATGTTTGACAATATTAGTAAATTATGTATATTTTGTAGTACCTTGTCTTGGCCTAATTTTTTGAATCTTCTGTATTTCATAACTCTGATTTAAAAATGAAGGCCTGCTGCAGTGGATCATGCCTATAAGCCCAGCACTTTGGGAGGCCAAGACGGGTGGATCACCTGAGGTCAGGTGATCAGCCTGGCCAACATGGTGAAACCCCATCTCTACTAAAAATACAAAAATTAGCCAGGCATGGTGGCAGGCACCTGTAATCCCAGCTACTTGGTTGGGGGTGGGGGTCTGAGGCAAGAGAATTGCTTGAATCTGGGAGGCAGAGGTTGCAGTGAGCCAAGATCACACCACTGCACTCTAGTCTGGGTGACAGTGAGACTCCATCTTAAAAAAAAAGAAAACATTTTCTTGGAGGAAATAGTGTACTTTGAAAAACTCACTAGTAACTGCCATGTTTGTATGTTTTAAACAGCAGTTTCCCATTGCATAAAGGTGACTTAACTCCAACAGCTGTTTTGTCTATAAGCAAATACTGCATATTGAGGAAAAGAAAATATAGATTTCTATAAATCTCTTTTTACTGCTTACATGGACATCATTTATTTTATTATTTGAAAAAAAGATTTTTAAAAACCCCAAAATGTCTGTTTTATAATTAGGAGACAGAGTGTTTTCTTACAAATAGCCTACTTATTCTCTTGTATGTTTCTTTTCTCTATTTCATCTACTTTTGTATTTATTTATTGTACATACTCAAGTTTATACTAAAATAGTTTTAAGATGAATTTATGTTCTTTTTATTGGCCTCAGTTACTCCAGTTACTTCAGTCTCCTGTTGTCCCTATACCCTTTCTTCTTTAAAAGCATCTGTAAGTGCAATTTGTTCTTTAACAATTTTCCTTATGGACTCTATACCCAGCTATTAGAAATACACTGGCTTGATGACGTGATGAACCATCTATAGAATTGACCAGTACCCCCATAATTCTATTTGTACTTAACCTTTCCTTCCAAGCAAAGGAAACTGTTAATTTTTTTCCTTAGTGTTTCATTACAATGTAAATTTTATATTTATTTATTTATTCTTTAATTTTTAGACATAGGGTCTTGCTGTTGCCTAGGCTGGGGTGCAGTGGCAAAATCATAGCTTACTATAATCTCAAACTCCTGGCCTCAAGTGATTCTCCTGTATCAGCCTCCCGACTAGCTGGGATACAGGCAAGCACCAGCACACCCAGCTAATTTTTGTATTTTTAGTAGAGACAGGGTTTCACCATGTTGGCTAGAATAGTCTCTCTCTCTTGACCTTGTGATCCACCCACGTTGGCCTCCCAAAGTGCTGGGATTACAGGCGTTTGCCACCTCGCCTGGCCTAACATTTTGATCTTCAATGTCTAATTGTTGAATAATTTTCTACAGTAGGTATTATGTTTATCTTCTTGATTTCTTTTCTTTTCTTTTTTTTCTTTTTGAAATGGACCCAGGCTGGAGTGCAGTGGCACGATCCCTGCTTAGTGCACCCTCCGCCTCCCAGGTTCAAGCAGTTCTCCTGCCTCAGCCTTTTGTGTAGCTGGGATTACAGGCACCCACCACCACACCCGGCTAATTTTTATATTTTCTGTAGAGATGAGGTTTCATCATGTTTGCCAGGGTGGTCTTGAACTACTTACCTCAGGTGATCTGCCCATCTCAGCCTCCCAAAGTCCTATGATTGCAGGTGTGATCTACAGCACCCAGGCTGTCTTGGTTTCTAATGGTTATTAATGTGTACAATATAATGGCCTGATGTAGGTCAAATTTCTTAAGCTTCCACTGACTTTTTAAAAAATCTGACTTAGGAAATAAGAAGAGATAAACCAGAATTACTTGGGATTTTTTTTTAAACCACTAGGGATTCTGATGGCTTACTTTCTTTGCCATCCCTTTTTGGAAATCCAAAATGCATGCCACCATACCCAGCTAATTTTTGTATTTTTTATAGAGACAGGGTTTCACCGTGTTGCCCATGCTGGTCTCGAACTCTTGAGCTCAAGCAATCCACCCACCTCAACCTCCCAGAATTCTAGGATTATAAGCGTGGGCCACTGCACCAGACCTAGATTTTCAAATTTTAAATATGTATCATCTCTAGTAATAAAATAATGTATTCTCCTAAAGTGTTAAATTAGACTTACTTATATTAGAGAAGTTTTTGGTTATTAGGAAAACAGTCCTAATAATGGTGCCAATTTCTTTTAAGAAATCATTCAAATCTTAAGTGGCAAGCACAAAAGTTAACACAAAAGAAATTCTTAGTAAAAGTTATGTATTTTCACAGTCTTCGCTCTTAAATACTTTTGTCTTGGATAACCTTCACAAAATGTATCCTTTTATATCCAGTACCCTAAAAGTTGCCAGATTTCACTTGTCTACTTTCTAGTCTGCCTTCAGTATAGATTCCTTCTTTTTTTCTCTCTTTACTCTTGAATTAATCCTCTACCTACTTCACAGGCCGGTTCTTTGATGAGAATGAATCCCCTGTTGATCCGCAGCATGGCTCTAAACTGGCGGATTATAATGGGGATGATGGTAACGTAGGTGAGTATGAGGCAGACAAGCAGGCTGAGCTGGCTTACAATGAGGAAGAAGATGGTGATGGTGGAGAGGAAGACGTCCAAGGTGAGCGTGGGCCTGGCCTCCATGCTGTAACCATGAAACCCAAAAGTCTTTTGGTTGAATTTGTGTAGAATTTCCTCCACTTATTAGTAGCAGTATAACCTCAATTTTTTTTTTTTTTCCCTGGAGACAGTTTCACTCTTGTTGCCCAGGCTGGAGTGCAATGGCATGATCTCGGCTCACTGTAACCTCTCCCTCCTAGGTTCAAGCCTCCTGCCTCAGCCTCCCGAGTAACTAGGATTACAGGCATGTGCCACCAAGCCCAGCTAATTTTGTATTTTTAGTAGAGACGGGGTTTCTCCATGTTGGTCAGGCTGGTCTTGAACTCTCGACCTTAGGTGATCCACCTGCCTTGGCCTCCCAAAGTGCTGGGATTACAGGCATGAGCCACTGAGCCTGGCCAACCTCACTGTTAATACAGAGAGTGCACTTTTTCAGTTTTATTTTGAAAACTATTTTATGATAGTGGCAGTTGTAAATGTACAAATTATTTTAATTTTTAAAATTTTGGTTATCTTATTATGTATATTATTCATACAGCTACAATTTAAAACTCAGAATCTTCACAAATTTTGGAATTAACTTGTTTAGAATGACTGTAGACTTTACCTGAGGCAAATGCTTCTAGAAAATATACTTTTCAAGTTTCTAATTTGAAATCATTTCATTATTTCAGGTACAAATATTGCCCAGGTAGCTTTTTCATTATAAGGAAAGCCACAAAGGGAATGGTCTTCTCCACACTGAAGATAAGATTATTTCACCACTTACATAGCAGAGGAAGGCTATTTTTGAATTTTTTTCTGAGAGGCTTAAAATTTATATTTAACAATCAGCATGTGAAGATTTATTTTACATTTAACACACAGATTCAACATATTTTTCTTATTCACTGTGTTACTTCTGCTGAGCATTTAACTTGTGAAAGTTCACAATCTACCTGTATGCATGCAGCCCTACCCATGCATGCATATCAGAGTGTTTTGTTTTATTGCAAGTTTTTAGGACAGTTTTCTGCCTGCTTATATTGTTTATTGTTTAGTAGTATTTCTGGAGCTCTTTCTCTTTTCTATAAAAGTTGATTGTGACCTTAGTGTGTGATACATTACATTTTTATGTGGTGCATGGAAATTTTTCATTGTATCCTGTTTTGATTTCTTCCTTAGCTGTTTTTAAAGTAATTAAATTTTTATCTAGGTTCATGACAAGCATTGTTTTTATAAAACCCAGAAGAAAATACAGTTGTTCTAGAAATTTAATATGGTTTATAGAAAAAAGGGAAACTAGCACACGACTCTGACTTCTACCTAGGTACTGTTTTAATAGTTAATTTTAATTTTGGAAAAATATGATTATTGGGGATAGAAAAGAGATTAATATGTGCTAGGAGTTATATAAGGTTATATTTATAAGAATTTCTCAAACACTTTTTGGTAATATTGATATAAATATAACCTTTTTTATATCAATATATCATATAAATATGTACTTTTTTTATAATCTCATCCTTTTTTCATAAATTTTAACATTTTTTTTCTCATTTTTTAAAATTTGTTTGGACTATATTTATTTGCAATTATTTATAATGTTTTAAGGCTTTTTCATGTGTGTATATAATATCACCAATTAGATTGTAAGCTCTTGGAGGGCAGGAATTTTTATTTATTTTTGCCTTCTATTTTGCTTGTATCATTTTCTACCTTCACACACACACCCCACAGTACTTTATACACAAGGCCCTCAATAAATATTAATAACTGATAATTGTATGCTTTTCTCATTGAGCTCTTGTTCTTATAACTGTGACTAGGGTAATAACCCTTTAACTTCTGGTCTTATAAGCTTGCTTGGTTTACACTTTAAATATTCTCTCATTTCTTTAAGGCTTTTTCATCTCATTAGATAATTTTGAAGTTTTATTACAGCAGTTTATCTCAATCTTTGTTGTCAGTCATTTCTTATATTCTTGTCTATCTGAAAGTTGATAACTGTCACAATATTTTAATATTTGTATGAGTTTTAATCTATTGTAAGTAAATTTATTTTCAGTACTTTCTCTCTCCCTTTATTGTACCCTTCTTCTTCCTCCCCTGATTCTCATTGCCACCTTCTACTTCAAGTCCCCAAGACCCTCATTTTACCCTCCCATTCCTTTCACAAGAAAATAAATTCGGATTCTAAAGAATGTAAGGAAATGACAAAAGATACTGTCCTCAGTGAAGGAGGGAAGGGGTTGTTACATTTTTTGATTTCCCTATTTGCAAGTGAATCTTACTTGATCTGAGTGTTGCCATTTAACATTTCTTGTCCATTCTGGCGTTCTCTAGATGATAGCGGCAGGAGGATAGGGCACCTACAAAAGGGACCAAGAACAAAAAGATGCAGGAACATCTTATTGTTCTGGCAAGAGGGATAAGTTTGGGTGAACTGACTAAAAAGGAATACTGAGGAGACCTAAATAATTGTTAACATGTTTCCAGGAATTCTTTTATTTTATATATATTTTTTGAGACAGAGTCTTGCTCTGTTGCCCAGGATGGAGTGCAGTACCACAGTCTTGGCCCACTGCAGTCTTTGACTCCCAGGTTCAATGGATTTTTGTGCCTCAGCCTCTCAAGCAGCTGGGACTACAGGCATGCACCACCACGTCCAACTAAGTTTTGTATTTTTAGTAGAAACTAGATTTCACCATGTTGCCAAGGCTGACCTCAAGTGATTCACCCTCCTCAGCCTTCTAAAGTACTGGGATTACAGGCATGAGCCACAATACCTGTCCATCCAAGGATTCTTTAGGCATATTATTAACTGTCTAAAAAGTGGCAGGAGGAAATTATGGCTGTTCTCTAACTTATCAACAACTTGGATTCCAAATGTTTGTTACTAAGTCAAAAGAGGTAACAGAATACTTCATTGTGCCAATGTGGAAATAATGGTTGGGCTCCAGTATGGTTTGCACTTGTAGCCAAAACAAGCAATAAAATAGAATAGAAAAAAAGTTAGTTGGTCAGGTGTGGTGGCTCACGCCTGTAATCCCAGCACTTTGGGATGCCAAGGTGGGCAGATCACCTGCGGTCAGGAGTTTGAGACCAGCCTGGCCAACATGATGAAACCTCATCTCTACTAAAAAATACAAAAATTAGCTGGGCATGGTGGCAGGTGCCTGTAATCCCAGCTACTTGGGAGGCTGAGGCAGAATTGCTTGAACCCAGGAGGCAGAGGTTGTGGTGAGCTGAGATCGCGCCATTGCAGTCCAGCCTGGGTAACAGAATAAGACTCTGTCTAAAAAAAAAAGGAAAGAAAAAAAACCGTTAGTCTAGAATCAAGAGATAGGCTGTGTATTGCTTTCCAAGTCACAAACTCTCTGGGCCACAATTTCTTCATCTGTATGAAGACTGTTGAACTGGAATAAATGATCTTTCTCAAAATAAATAAAATGATATTTCTCAGTTTTAAAATTCTGTGGCCACATTCAAGTTGGAATCACTATATATAACACACGTATAATGGGAAAATATGTTTCAGATTTCAGGATGTCTGAAACACATCTATTCCCAAATCCATGAAAGAAAGTAGAAACTTTATTGCCACCATTGTGACTCTACAGCCAAAGATAACAAAGAATTAAGCACACATTTAATGTTCTATAGATAGGAGCTCTTCTCTGCTCTCTCTAGTAGTAGGAGTAGTCTCTTAAGTTGTGAGGTCCCTAGGATTAGAGATTCCAGCTGCAGAATAAGATTCTGGCTTCACCTAAGTGCACTTTGACTTTGGTCTCCAAAATTGTGTATTATGAATTCAGGCTTTGACAGCATATCTACCAATAGGGAACTGAAGGATTCCAGCCTTATCTGTGATACCTGTTCATTACATATTAATCACTGGAGTCAGCACTACTTGTAAAGTGTTTTGTAGAATTGAGGCCTATTTTTCCTTTGTTTATAATTATTTATAGATATAGATTAAAATATAACATATTTTAATTTTAACATATTTTAATTTTAATTAATAAACAACTTAATTAAAATATAACATTTTAATCTGTTTTCTAATTTATTAGATATATCTAGATAATTTATTACAGATAAAAATTATATAAACATTTATGTAAAATGTTTACATATTTATAATACATTTAAATCTATTTCAATTGATATATAGTTAATCTATATTTTTAGTATATATATATTATATATGTGTGTGTGTATGTATATGTGTGTGTGTGTGTGTGTGTATATATATGTGTATATATATATATATATATTTTTTTTTTTTTTTTAGACAGGGTCTCCCTCTGTCACCCAGGCTGCAGTGCAGTAGCGTAATCATGGCTCACTACAGCCTCGACCTCCTGGGCTCAAAAGATCCTCCTTCCTCAGCCTCCTGAGTATTTAGGACTACAGGCATGCACCACCACATGTGGCTAGTTTTTTGTATTTTTTTTTCATAGCGGAGGGGTTTAGCCATGTTTCCCAGGCTGGTCTTAAACTCCTGGGCTCAAATAATCAGGCCGCCTAGGTCTCCCAAAGTGCTGGGATTATAGGCATGAGCCACTGCACCTGGCTCCTCACTGGCTTTTTGCCTCAAGAAGTTAATTGCTTGGTAGAGCTTTTTTGCTGTTTGTGGGTTTTTTGTTGTTGTTGTTAATTTTTTAATTTTCTAAGATGGGGTCTTGCTGTGTTGCCCAGGCTGGTCTCAAACTCCTGAGCTCAAGCTATCCACTGGCCTCAGCCTCCCAAAGTGCTGGGATCACAGGCATGAGCCACTGCACTCAGCTGGCAGAGGTTTCTTTAATGGAGGTAGCCTTCCTTGACTTCAGAGGGAATTCAGGAATTATTTAATAAATTATTGCTATCTTTAAAATTATATTTCCTGTAATGTTCATTTTACCTTGATGAACTATTTAATATTTTGCTGCTTCCTAAAATGAACTATATAAGTTTCTATAACTATATTTAGTGGTTATCTACTATTCTACATTAGATTTGATTAGAAGATTTCATAATCACATACTACTACTTTACAGATAAAGGCAAAGAGGTTGTTGATAGAAACATGAATTCTGGATAGAATAGCTACACTAGGCCAGGCACGGTGGCTCACACCGGTAATCCCAGCACTTTGGGAGGCCAAGGCGGGTGGATAACGAGGTCAAGAGATCAAGACCATCCTGGTCAACATGGTGAAACCCCATCTCTAGGCCGGGCGCGGTGGCTCACGCCTGTAATCCCAGCACTTTGGGAGGCCGAGGAGGGTGGATCACGAGGTTAAGAGATCGAGACCATCCCGGTCAACGTGGTGAAACCCCGTCTCTACTAAAAATACAAAAAATTAGCTGGGCATAGTGGCGCATGCCTGCAATCCCAGCTACTCAAGAGGCTGAGGCAGGAGAATTGCCTGAACCCAGGAGGCGGAGGTTGCGGTGAGCCGAGATTACACCATTACACTCCAGCCTGGGTAACAAGAGCGAAACTCCGTCTCAAAAAAAAAAAAAAAAAAAAGGGTGCAAAGTCGTTGCCTGAAATTCTAGAAATGAAAATTTCTGTAAGTTCCACAGGAAAGATGTTGAGAATGAAAGTTGGTTTGTTTGACCTTTTTCTTTTCTTCTTTGTTTCTCTCTCTCACTCTTTTTTTTTTGAGATTTTTTCTTTTGAGATGGGTTTAGCTCTGTTACCCAGGCTGGAGTGCAGTGGTGTGATCTGTGCTCACTGCAACCTCAGCCTCCCAGGCTCAGGCAATCCTTCTACCTCAGCCTCCTGAGTAGCTGGGACTACAGCTACACACAAACACACCTTACTAAATTTTGTTATTTTTAAAAGAGACTGGGTTTCAGGATGTTGCCCAGGCTGGTGTTGAACTCCTGAGATCAAGCCATCTGCCTGCCTCAGACTCCCAAAGTGCTGGGATTATAAGGTTACACAACCATGCCCGGCCTATTTGGCATTTCTGAAAGAAGAAAGTTTTAGAGTGTAAAACCTCTCATGCCTAAAGTAATAGATTTCAGAAAACTATAGTATACATATGAATTTAGATTCCAATGTATAACTTTCTTTATATTAACAAAAATTGAGCTATTGGATAATAGTATCTGTGAACTAGAATGTAGGAAAAGTGATTTTTTAAGTTTGCAGAGGAGCCAAAAGATACCATAAAAATCCATGTACTCCAAAGGGATTCTCCAAGGCTCTGGTCAAAATACTTTTCATTCTTGTTCTAATATAATTTTAATACTCTTGGGTGAGGCCAGTGGATCACTTGAGCCTGGGAGTTCCAGACCAGCCTGGGCAACATGGCAAAACCCCATCTTTACAAAAAATACAAAATGTAGCCGGGTGCGGTGGCATGCACCCGTGGCCCCAGCTACCTGGGAGGCTGAGATGGGAGGATCACTTGAGCCCAGGAGGTTGAGGCTGCAAGTTGGCCATGATAGCACCACTGCATTCGAGCCTGGACAACAGAGCAAGATTCTGTCTCAAAAACCAATGACAATAACAACCTCTTGAGCAGTCTCATTTTAAAATCTGTAATTTGCAGCAAAATTAGAAAAGAAGGATTGCTTCTGGCAGGAAAATTGACAACAAAGCAAAGTGACAACTCATAGCTAAGAAAGAGCGAGAAATATATGTAGTAGCCAAAGAAATCAAACTTCATAGCACTATTTGGAGAATTTAATATAGCTACTCAAAGAGGCTTTGAAGATTTTATTAACAGTAATCTTTTTTTTCTGTTAAGAAAAGTTTAAATTTTGATTGTTATACTCCATTTGGGAAGCCAAGAGTAAGCTATTTGCAGAGAAGCAAAGAAATTCACTAAAATGTTAAATGTTGGGATCATGACTTTTACTTTTCTATCTTTTATAATTTTTACATTACCAATATGGGGTACTTTTTAAATTAGAAAAAAAATTGATTTTTAAAAGCCTGAAAATATGTACAGAAAGGTTTCTACCAAAGCTTTAATTTAAAGGACTAACCATCTATATAGAAATAATATATTTAGGCTGGGCGCGGTGGCTCACACCTGTAATCTCAGCACTTTAGGAGGCTGAAGCAGCAGATCACCTGAGGTCAAGAGTTCGAGACCAGCCTGGCCAACATGGTGAAACCCCATCTCTACTAAAAATACAAAAATTAGCTAGGCGTGGTGGCAGGTGCCTGTGGTCCCAGCTACTTGGGAGGCTGAGGCAGGAGAATCGCTTGATCCTGGGAGGTGGAGGTTGCAGTGAGCCGAGATCATGCCATTGCACTCCAGCCTGGGTGACAGAGTGAGACTCCATCTCAAAAAAATAAAGAAATAGAACAATATTTGTACTTTTCACTCTTTAGCTAAGCATCTAAGAAATAGAACACTATCTGTACTAGGTGTAAAATAAGCAGAAAACTATCTTAAGGCTGAGAAAAACTGAGACATTAATTGGATTTCTGCAGAGATAAAAAAATAATATTTTGATACAAAACTATTTTACTTACAGATGATGAAGAAAGAGAACTTCAAATGGATCCTGCAGACTATGGAAAGCAACATTTCAATGATGTCCTTTAAGTCCTAAAGGAACACTTCAGAAAACCTAAAGTGCTGTAAAATGAAATCATTCTACTTTGTCCTTTCTGACTTTTGTTGTAAAGATCGGTTGTATCAGTTGTAAAGATACATTGAGATAGAATTAAGGAAAAACTTTAATGAAGGAATGTACCCATGTACATATGTGCACTTTTTAATATTGTATTATCGTGACAGAGACTTTTTTGGTTATAATACACTTAAGCCAAAAATAGTTAATCTTTGCATTTAAAGCAAACTAATGTATATTTCACATTTTATTGAGCCGACTTATTTCCACAAATAGATAAAAAGGAAAAAATGGTTGTACAGGTTATATGTTGCATAGCATAACCATAGCAAGAACAGATATTCAGCAGAAAACTTTTTATACACTAATTTTTTTTTTTTTTTTTTGAGATGGAGTTTTGCTCTTGTTGCCCAGGCTGGAGTGCAATGGCACAATCTAGACTCACTGCAACCTCTACCTCCTGGGTTCAAGCGATTCTCCTGCCTCAGCCTCTGTAATCCTGATGGGATTACAGATGCCCACCACCATGCCTGGCAATTTTTGTATTTTTAATAGAGATGAGGTTTCACCGTGTTGGCCAGGCTGGTCTTGAACTCCTGACCTCAGGTGATTCTCCCATCTTGGTCTCCCAAAGTGCTGGGATTACAGGCATGAGCCACCATGTCCTATACACTAATTCTTGTTAGCCCAACAGCTGTTCTGTTCTATCTATCCCTCATTTCATGCTCAAGGAGTCATACCTAGAATAGTTACACACAAGACGGGAAACTAGAAGCCAAACACTGGACAGTATGTATACAAAGTCACCTCCCTACTCCTTTTATTTTACAAGGGTGCAGATGTGTTTTGGCAGATAAGATTTCAGCTGAGGCCTGATGGAAATTGAGATAACCTGTAAAGACATAACAATATTTATGAGTTATATCTTACTTAGTTCTTGAAATTATGGAATGCATGATTGATAATATATTTTTAATTTTTATTTTTTCAAGTAATACCAGTATTGTTTAACTATAGCGCACTGGCTAAAATTTTTATATTTTCAGAGTTGAAGTTGGTGATGACATTAATGATTTAAACACCAGATCCTGAAAGGGGTTAAATCTCCTTTGAAATGAATCTGTAATCAGTATTTCAAAGCTTTTCTGGTAATTTTAGTGATCTTATTTGACTAGACTTTTTCAGAAGTACTAAATAAGGAATTTTAACAGGTTTTTATTAATGCACAGATAAATAGAAGTACAGTGAGGTCTATAGCCATTTTATTAAAGTAGCTTAAAAGTTTATAAAATAATGAATCTTGGTAATTACTTAATATGTAAGTTAAGAACCCATCAAGCTTGTATTTGCTGGACTTACAAATTATTTTAAATGCCTTTATCTTTTTTGACACTATTCAATGGAATGTGTAAGCAACCTAATTCTTGTTTTCTGATTTAAAGCACTTTTAAGTCTTATCCTGTTCCCAAAACACAAAAGGTTTTGGTCATAAGGGGAAATGTAAATTTAAGATTGTTAACCCTGTTTTTCCGAAGGGCTACTGTTAATTGCACATAAACATGAAGTATGTTTTCCCCTGTATACTAACAGATTCTAGTCAAAATTCAAATGTACAGTGGTAGAGAAACAGGTTGTTCACTTGTTGAGGTGCAAAAATTCTTAAGACTTTTGTTTAAAATTGCTTAATGACTAGGAAAAGATGCAGTTTACTAAAATTGTTTTTCTACCATATCAAAGTAAACAATTCATGCCTTTACAGGGTCAGGCCTACAATGAATAGGCATGGTGGTTCACAGAATTTTAAAAATAGAGTTAAAGGGAAGTTATGTAACTTTTGGGGGCATTAGGGTAGGGAGATGAGTCTAAAAATATCCCTATTAATACTTTATATTTAATACTGCAAAAGCTTTACAAATGGAAACCATGCAATTACCTGCCTTTGTTCTTTTGTCATAAAAACAATCACTTGGTTGGTTGTATTGTAGCTGTACTTATATGGCAACATTTCTTCAATTAGCAGCCTCGACATTTTATAAACAGAAATCTTGGACCAACTGATAATATTTCTGACTGTATTAATATTTTACTGCTATAAAATACTATGTGAATCTCTTAAAATTCTGACATTTTACAGTCTGTAGTAGACATACTGTTTTTATAATGTTTTACTTCTGCCTTAAGATTTAGGTTTTTAAAGTGTATTTTTGCCCTGAATTAAGTGTTAATTTGATGGAAACTTTGCTTTTAAAAACATCATTTACTGGGTTCTAATAAATTAAAAATTAAACTTGTTTCACTGATTTGCTGAGTCTAATATATATAGAAACATCACATTCATGCTGCAAATACATTTTAACACTAAAACCTGAGTAAATTGGCTTGGCGCGGTAGATCATGCATGTAATCCCAGCACTTTGGGAGGCCGAGGCAGGTGGATCACCTGAGGTCAGGAGTTCAAGACCAGCCTGACTAACATGGTGAAACCCCATCTCTACTAAAAATACAAAAATTAGCCAGGTGTATTGGTGGGCACCTGTAATCCCAGCTACTCAGGAGGCTGAGGCAGCAGAATCGCTTGAACTCAGGAGGTGGAGGTTGCAGTGAGTCAAGATTGCGCCATTAAACTCCAGCCTGGGTGACGACAGAGCTAGGCTTCATCTGAAAAAAAAAAAAAAAACTGAGTAAGTTAAGCTCAACTAGAAAACCAATTTTTTTTTTTTTTTTGAGACGGAGTCTCACTCTGTCACCCAGGCTGGAATGCTGGAACGTAGTGGCACGATCTCAGCTCACTGCAACCTCTGACTCCCAGGTTCAAGCAATTCTCCTGCCTCAGCCTCCCAGGTAGCTGGGATTACAGGCGTGTGCCACCACACTCAGCTAATTCTTGTATTTTTTGGTAGACATAGGGTTACACCATGTTGGCCAGGCTGGTGCCCTGACTGAAAACCAAGTATTTTTATACCAGCGCTCTTTACTGTAGGTCTAGTTTATTCAACAGATATTGAATGCCTATTGTGTGCCCAGCATTGTTCTAGTTATTAAGATAAATGGATAAGGTCTCTGTTCTCATGGAGTATACATTCAAGTGGGGGCAGTCAGACAATATACAAGTAAACAAATGAACAAAAGTTCCGGCCGGGTGCAGTGTCTCACACCTGTAATCCTATCACTTTGGGAGGCAGAGGCAGGTGGATCAGGAGGCCAGGAGATCGAGACCATCCTGGCTAACATGGTGAAACCCTGTCTCTACTAAAAATACCAAAAAAATTAGCCTACTGTGGTGGCATATGCCTGTAATCACAGCTCCTCAGGAGGCTGAGGCAGGATAATCGCTTGAACCTGGGAGGTGGAGGTTGCAGTCAGCCAAGATCGTGCCATTGCACTCAAGCCTGGGCGACAAAGTGAGACTCTTGTCTCAAAAAAAAAATTAAATAAAAATAAAAGTTCCAAGCTTCCAAATAATTAGGTTTTCACTGAACTAAAACATTTCAGTTATGTGGCTGGAGTGTAATGTGCAAGGGAGAGAGAAATGAGACTGAAGAAAGTATGGAAGAGGCAAGATAGGGGAGAGCATTGTAAGTTTAGGTTTTGCTACTAACCCGTTAACAAAAATGAAGCAAATATACATGGAAGGATTTTTTAAGGAGAAATGTGATTGAAATGACTTCAAAATCATTTCTAAAATATGTCACACTGTTTGAAAAAATCTTAAGATTGTATCTTTTGGACCTCTCATTCCTGTAATCGTGTAACAACAAAATTTGCTTGAGTATGAGGACAGAGAATTTGTTTTTAAAAAAGCAACAACATATTTATGAGGAAGTGTATTAGTCCGTTTTCACACCGCTATAAAGATACTATGTGAGACTGGGTACTTTATAAAGGAAAGAGGTTTAATTGACTCACAGTTCCACCTGGCTGGGAGGGCTCAGGAAACTTACAATCATGGTGGAAGATAAAAGGGAAGCAAAGCACATCTTACACAGAGAAAGGGGAGAGAAAGTGTGCACACAGGAAGCTGCTATTTTTAAAACCATCGGATCTTGTGAGAACTCACTGTCAGGAGAACAGCATCAGGGAAACCCTCACCATTAACCAAGCACCTCCTGGAACCAGGTCCCTGCCTCCACACATAGGATTATAATTTGAGATGAGATTTGGGTGGGGACACAGAACCAAACTATATCAGGAAGGTAGTCACTTTCCATAATGGTGCTGACCTTAGAAACATCTATTCCTTCATGTGTAGCATATGGTTTCAATAGGACAAACAGTGTGTCATTAATACATTTTCATTCTAGGTTATAGTTTTCACATCACATGTGGGCCATCGACATTTAATTCTAATTAGACTATACAAAGCCCAGTCCAGCTTCTTCTTCTTTTTTTTTATTTGAAACAGTCTCGCTGGGCTGGCTCTTTTTTTTTTTTTGGGACAGTAGCACAATCTGGGCTCACTGAAACCTCTGCCTCCTGGGTTCAATCAATTTTCCTGCCTCAGCCTCCTAAGTACAGGTACACACCTCACTCAGCTACCACGCTCAGCTAATTTTTGTATTTTTAGTAGAGACTAGGTTTCACAATGTTGGCCAGGATGGTCTCGATCTTTTGACCTCGTGATCCACCTACCTCAGCCTCCTCAGGTGCTGGGATCACAGGTGTGAGCCACCATACCCAGCCAAGTTTCTTTTAAAACTCTCATCACTAAGAGTTCCAAATGAAAATTCAACCAACTAAACCAGAAAAAGGGGGAAACTTTAATGGTTCATGTAAGAAAAGTGCATAAAGAACAGGAATTCTCTGGACTTAGACAATTGAAATAAGGACTTGAATGCTGCCAGGACTTCATTTCACCAACTCCCATTTCTACTTCCCTCTACTTATTACCTTGTTTCAGATTAGCTCCCTCCTCAAAGTTCTGTGGCTTCTACAGATCATATTTTCTTTTGCTATCTGAGAGAAGCTGCTCCTCTTCCCTTAGTTTAACTTCAAAAAATCTGATGGAGGCCAGGCACAGTGACTCATGCCTGTAATCCAAGCACTTTGGGAGGCCAAGGTGGATGCATTCCTTAAGCCCAGGCAACAGCAGCCTGGGCAACATGGTGAAACTCTGTCTCTACAGAAAAATACAAAAATTAACCAGGTATGTGTCTGTAGGGATGTATACCTGTAGTTCCAGCTACTCGGGATGCTGAGGTGGGAGGATGCTTGAGCCCAGGAGGTCAAGTGAGATCCTGTCCCCCCCAAAAAAAAATCTGAGGTAAGGAAAGGGAGACTTCTGTTTCTGGCTATGATGGAGTAACTTGACTAGCCCTTTTCAGCCAGCACAAGACTACCATCTCTGAGAGAAGGGAAACTTAGGCAGTGAGCCCCACAATCATCCCACTATCCCACTTTTTGTGGTGTAAAGAGGCTGGAGTAAGAGCAGAGCACAGTGGATCTGCTGAACTGAGAAGGCAGAGGTCATAGGGAGCAGCTGAAACATTTGGAATCTGCCAGGTGGGACACGAGAGAAGAGGGAGCTGTTCACAGAGGCAGCCCCAGAAATCCATATAGAGGTCCTCACAAATCCATGGCTGATGGCTAAACTGTACATGCTCAGAAAAAGGCCATCTAATGCTTGCAGATAGCAGTTGCTACAGGTTGAGAACAGAATGGAGATACCAGAGGCCACGAAATTTTGGCACAAAAGCAGTGCTAAGGGACATTGGATTTCTGGGCCTGCCAAGGTGAACATGTCTTTTTTTTTTTTTTTTTTTTTTTTTCTGAGACAGAGTCTTGCTCTGTCGCCCAGGCTGGAGTGCAATGGTGCGAGCTCGGCTCACTGCAACCTCCGCCTTCCAGGTTCAAGCAATTCTCCTGCCTCAGCCTCCTGAGTAGCTGGGATTATAGGCATGCAGCACCACACCTGGCTAATTTTTGTATTTGTAATAGAGACATGGTTTCCCCATGTTGGTGAGGCTGGTCTTGAAATCCTGTCCTCATGATTCGCCCATCTTGCCCTCCCAAAGAACTGGGATTACAGATGTGAGCCACTGCACCCAGCCTGTGAATGTCTCTTTAACAATTGCAGCAACAGGCTGGGTGGGTGGCTCATGCCTGTAATCCCAATACTAGGAGTCTGAGGCAGACAGATCACCTGAGGTCGAGAGTTTTGAGACCAGTCTGGCCAACATGGCAAAACCCCATCTCTACTTAAAAAAAAAAAAAATTAGCTGGGTATTGTGGCACATGCCTCTAATTCCAGCTGCTTGGGAGGATGAGGCAAGAGAATCACTTGAACCAGGGAGGCAGAGGTTGCAGTGAGCCAAGATAGCGCCACTGCACTCCAGCCTAGGTGACAGAGTGAAACTCTGTCTCAAAAAAAAAAAAAAAAAAAAAATTGCAGCACAGCTGAAACTTTAGAAAGGCTGCATGGTAGGAGTAAACCCCATCCCCTACATTAAGACCTACTCTAGATATGCCTTATCAAAGCCTAAAGTCAAGCCTTGGCAAGTTTAGCAGGGGAACAAGAGTATGGAGCTTCAGTACTGCCAACGTAGGGCTTGCAAATCTCCTTAGGCTTTCCATAGATGTGAGCTAACAAAGTATAAATAAAACCAAGTGCCAGGCATGGTGGCTGATGCCTATAATCTCAGCACTTTGGGAGGCCGAGGTGGGTGGATCACCATGGTCAGGAGTTCGAGACCAGCCAGGCCAACATGGCGAAACCCTGTCTCTACTAAAAATACAAAAATTAGCCAAGACTGGTGGCGGGTGCCTATAATCCCAGCTACTCAGGAGGCTGAAGCAGGAGAATTGCTTGAACCCAGGAGGCGGGGTTGCAGTGAGCCAAGATTGCGCCATTGCACTCCAGTCTGGGCAACAAGAGCGAAACTCTGTCTCAAATAAATAAATAAATAAATAGATAAATACAAGCATCTACAAGTTTAGGTGACCACTCAGTAACTGAAGTGCCTGCTGAAACAAGAATCATAACTTTTCAGGGAAGCTAACAGAATCTAGAGTCTCTAAAACATATTATTCATGATGTCCCATGTTCCCTAAAAAATGACCTACAAAGATATGAGAAAATGTGATCCAGTTTTTAAAAATTGGGATGGAATTTGTTATTCTTATTTTTGTTTTGTTTTGGAGATAAAGTCTTGCTCTGTCACCCAGGCTGGAGTGCAGTGGCACCATCTCGGCTCACTGCAACCTCCACCACCTGGATTCAAACAATTCACGTGCCTCAGCCTCCTGAGTACCTGGGACTACAGGCACACACCACCACAACCAGCTAATTTTTTTGTATTTTAGTAGAGACAGGGTTTCACCATCTTGCCCCGGCTGGTCTTGAACTCCTGAGCTTAGGCAATCCACCAATCTCGGCCTCCCAAAGTGATAGGACTACAGGTGTGAGCCACTGCACGTAGCATTTATTGTAATGCAGCGATTATAAATATGTTTAAAGCATTAAATGAAAATATGTTAATGAAAGAACAGATAGGGAATCTCAGCACAGACATGGAAATTATGAAAATTCTAATGAAATTCTAGAACTGAAAAGAATAACTGAAATGAAAAATTCATCAGATGGGTTTAAGAGTAGATTGGAGATGGCAGAAAAATGAACTTGAAGACATACAAGTTAACTTGTCCTAGTATTTGGAAACACA